AGACCCAATAAGTGGGTTAGTTATTATATGTTATGTTTACACGTGTTCATGTAAATCCAAAGAGTTAATCCTAAAAACCAACCAATACTGCTGCTATGTAACTAATGTGACTAAAAGGAAAAACCTAAATCCTGAAATCTGAATAACTCTTTGTAAGTTAATGCAATTGGAACCTAATCAGCATATTAAATTTATATACGTACTGAAAATAATCAAACAACGAATATATAGACACAAAAGTACTACTAAAGAAAGTAAAACTATCAGGAATCGGGAATTTTATGATAGTCTACCGAATCACGAGAACATTGAACAAACTAGTTTATGTATGTAGCAGTATGTAGTTCATATAACTATAAATTATTATCTCCATTGAACAGTCATTAGTATAAAATTCACACCTATTTACAAAATAAAAAACCATTTTAAACTCGTTTTCTTGAGCTTAATACGATTCAGATATTCATACTTTTTATTTAAATCCCTCATGCTGTACTAACTTTCTTTCTCGTCGTAATTCGGTCGTGGAAGATATCAGGTTAGTTTTTGTTTCATTTTCCGAGTCAAATAAATACTAAAGCGCTGATTTGTGCTTAATTAGTGAGTAGTGGGACCGACCTGGAGAGAAATAAGGTATGGAAATGGTTTAGGCAGCCTTGGTCGAAGCACCTCTGAGTTGTCGAGGCCAGACTTCAGCGTTCCTTTCACAAGAGTGCTCCACGCAAAGGCAAGAAATCTTGCTACGTTTGTTAAGAAATCATCAACTAGAATGGCGTATCCTGATTATAAATCCATTGTGTAGCCCCTGAACTGTTTAATTAGACTATTATAGGTATACCTTACGTCAACAGTTCAACAAGTGGTGGTGAAACTCAATATTTACCTATAGTATTGTTTGAATCATATTGGGTAAAAAAGGATTTATTTTACTTGTGTTTGGCTATGAATTATCTTATGGTTACCTAAGAGGATATAGTGCTCACCTACTTCTGTAATCAGAAAATCTTATGTTCGATCGATATAGTACTTTTTTGTGGTTCGAAATTGGACCCAGAAGTTTTCTCGATCATGGGCTTCCGTGGATGGCCCTGACTAAAGGACCAGCTATTCTTGGTAAGTAACAACACTATTCTCACCCTTTTAACAATTACATTTAACTCATCTTCGCCTTAAGATACATACAACACACCCTGCACCCTGGTAAAATAAAGACTTTGCCTGGTAAAATAAAGAATTTGTCATTTAATTTCATTTCACCCTGGTTAATCGGCGTTATACAATTCCACTCCAAGGCAGTTTGAGCCTACGTCTTGTGTTGGGAGTTTATGTACCAGTGAGTATGTGTAAACAATTGGTATTTCGGTTTCTACTAGGTTTTATCACGTTATACTCTACTTCATACTCTAGTGACCCGAGAATTTTAGCATGATTTATTTCACATTTTGAAATAGGGATCCCACCATTCCCCTGAAGCTATAGAAAAGTAGAACAACGATTTAAAAACAACGTAAAACACGATATACAGTATACGTGTTAAATAGTTTTCTTCGTTTCTCTAAATACATTTTAAAATCTATAATCAAAATAGAACAATAACATATACTATAATTACATATACTGAGTAATCCAAAAAATACAATATGTAATCGTTTTAGGTACGAGTAGAAAAACGATACTATTAAGGGGGAGTACCCACAGACTGTCTCGAAATCTCATTTTTGTACAGGAGACCTTTATACCCCTTGCTGGAGGTAAATAAAAATAGCTGTCAATTGGATCCCCGGGATCTCCGCGGAGGTCGATGCTCAAGCCTCACATGCTCACTGCTCACTGCTCACTGCTCAGGCCACCTTCGGCCTCGTGCTACGGTAGCAATAAACCTAGTCGTAAATCAACTATCGCTGTTATATAGCTGCAGTATACCTATTTAGAGAAACCACATTTAAATTATAATAAAGATCAACTTTAACAACCGAGAAGTTGTAAAACACACCATAAACAGCCGTAATCGGAAACTACTCTTGTATGATAGACTTTACGCCTGTGTTCCTGTAACGTAAACGTGTTAATTGATTGCTAAGAAATCCTACGCGGGAGGCATGTTCCAGAATATCTCAAAACAGCTGATTTTGACATACCCATGCTGGGCTTTTTTACTATTACGGACTTTGAATACAACTATTGGCGATTTTGAAAAGATTCGATAATTTATATAATTTTTTTTGTCCAATTAGATGGAATATTTTCAATTTGTTATTCATTGTGTTATTCAAAATTTTGTTTAGAAAATACATTTGTTCATATACGTTATTTACTGAGTACATTGTTTCACCGACTCACATAGGCCTACTCTGAGTAAGTTAAACACTACAATCTTTTGACAATCACAATATTATATGTACTTTCGCAAGTACAATACACACAACAAAAATGAATTTTTTGGTTAATTACATTTGTCACACATTACCGGCCAAGCCGGAAATCCCTGACACATTCGCAATGATAATACATTGTGATTACATACATGTTCTAACTAAATCATATCGCGTTATATTAATGTACGACATAATTGTCTGGTGTTATGTCATTGAAAGTTGTAGCGTATATTTTATGAACAGATAAAGAGAAAAAATCATAGCAGAGTTTATTATTGTAGGGGTTTTTGTCACCATTCTAGATCTTACAAATTCATTGAACCAATGGGTCATTGGACTAAGGACAGACCGTAACAAATAGCTACGAAAATTACAGAACAAAACTAGGGACAATGTTCATATGTTTAATTTACAACATTATGTGTTTGGGCTTAGCAATTTCTCATGAACGAAAGCCACAAGGGTCCTTATTTAAGTAATGCACAAGACATTTAGGATTTTTCTGGTGACAAAGGTATATTTTAACATCACCTCAACTATAGCCCCATATCACTTTCAGTGTTACTTTTGAAAGCGTTCTGTTTCGTCAATGTCTTTCTTGTTATAGTGTATTACAAGACGAAGGCATGAAAGATATCCGTTTTCAAGCTGTGTTCAGCACTTGGGAACAATTGGAAGTACTCGTGCAGTAGGCTCCAGTAGTGTTGTATGAAAAGGCTACAAGCTCGCTCAGATTTATAGTCTCAAACAGTACCTGTTTCTACTCGTTCGTAATTAATCTACCCGCACTAGCTATTAATTGCGTCCTCGCTTTTCCTACTGCGCACATTTCCTTGGGTACAAGGCTACAAGCCTCGTCCAACGCGTCGCGCGTCGAGCTTCTTTCTGTTCTAGGTAACCTCCCAAACAATTAATGGTGATACGATTTTCCGACAGTTAGTTATTCAAGTCGCAAAGTAAAAAAGCGCCAACGCAAAAAATTAAACTAGCATTTCAACGCATGTCATTAAGGTGTATCCAAAAATATAAATATGCAACACTAGATTTAAAAACACTTTAACAAACCATAAACAAAATCAACAGCCTGTAACAACTGTAAATTGAAATTTTACAGTTTTTACCATCTTGGGTTGACAGGTGTTTTCATGAAGTTAACATGAGTTTTGTTGTATTGAGTTTTACAACGCCTCCAAAGGTGTTGGTGTCAGAAGTTTGAAATGGAAAAAAAAATTTTTTTTACCACAGACCTGGACATTTTCCTTTTCTCCAAAAATACAGCCATCATACAGTAGTTACAACGTTAGAATGCGAGTTTCCAAATTTTCTAAGTGATAAGATTCAGCGTAATATAAAAATTATATTTTGTTATAGACAGTCACTTTTTTCGTTTTTAAATTTAAATAAGTAGTAATCTCGCAATGAAGGAGAACTATTCCTGTTTATTTCACACGAATATACACGATAAGGATGTAAAACATCTCTTTCTTCAGCATGCACGACAATTGTATCATTAATTTGGAGCAACTGACAAACTGACACTCAAACAAAGATTGATACATTATTATTTAAGTGTAAATATTTAGGTGTAAAAGTATCTCAACAATAAGATTTGTAAGAAATTTGCTGTTCCGTTCTGTAGTTAGGAAATAAGGTTGAAGATAATTGACCTTTTTTGCACAAAAATGATCGGGGTGATTAGACCTTTAAATTGATGTATCACACAACCAATGCTTACATTTGAAATATTTCACCTTTGTACACAACAGATACGGAATGATTTCAAATGAACCAATTATCGAAAATGAGCCATAGTTGATCTAGAAAATTAACATAGTTCAATGTATACAGTGACATTACTTATAAAAATTATTTTACTAACATAAATACTTAGTTAATCAAAATCGACCCAGATTAATCAGATAGTATATTCTTATAAATCTCGATCGCGATTCAACAGTTTTAAGAGCAACAATATAAGGCTGAAGAATAAGTAAGTTAGTAGCATGGTTCTTTTCGCCCAGTTGTAATATTTCCTGTAAGTGCACGATAAATTCTTTGCCAACGACAAGAAAACAGTTGGAGTGATTGTCTTCAATTTTGGCTCACGCATTTGCTTGGATGCCAAACTGCATCTTTTACTGCATCCATTGTGCCGATGCGCGTCGTCCCCCTGTACTTCCTTTACATCTTTTAATGCCCCCCGTCTCCACTAGAAATTCAGCGGGAAAAGACACCCGGGTTCCTGACGCGTTCCCGCGTTTAATACTTAGATAAAACGGTTAGTTAGAAAAAGCAAGATATTGCATCATTAATGTCATAAATTGAGACATGTACTATTTTAAGTAGTGAATGTTAAATTGGGAAGGACTTGACAATTTCAAGTTTTTAAAAGAATTTGTTAGAAATAAAGCTCTTGGAATAATTCACAATTATAGGCCTGCAACGAGTCAACAATAATTTCAACTTTTATGACTTCAGGGAACTCTTTGCAAAAGTTAAAAATACATCTTTTGGAAACTAACTTACCACCCTAGTGATTTGGGTTTCGAACGTTTACCACTATACGCACTACGAGATTTCGGCAACACTATTTTGTACTATAATTTGTAGAATGTTCCCACTCACCATCAACTCCTCCTTGCAGCGCCGCTCTTCTTCCAGTGACATCCGCTTTTCGTGCTTCTTGAAGTATTTGCGTTTGGCGGCTTGCAGATTAAACCACGTGTACGAGAAGGACTTCACATGGGGCAGAAGTGCCTCGATGAACGGATGAAACTCATCCTGGAAAGGAAAATAGCTATTAGCGATATCTGTTCATATCGTATCTTATTTTTACTGTTTGCTCTCTGTACTATTAATTATAAGAAGTTATTTCAGTTTACAACTATCTAAAGAAACTAAAGAGCACAAATATGATGGGTGCATTATTCATACATGCAACCAATGATTAAAACTACCAGAGAAACTCTAAGACCAAACTACACGTTTACAGTTCATCGGTTGGTACGAATCGAAAGAATCATCTCGGCGTAATTGGGAATAATCTTTCTCGATCATTAACCACTTGGTGTAATGATAATTCATTTCTTGTCTTTCATTAAGACAGTTTAGTTACAATAGTGTCGAAATATTCTGTGAAAGTGTAAGAAGTAAGAAAATTAATTACCGAGTCGGGAATTATTTCCAACAGCTTCATCGCTGAGTTAATAGTGGTAAGGCTATCAGTTTTCGACCAAGAAGTACCTTATTACGGTACGGTTGAAGGAAAATCAATCCTGGAACCCAAACTTTGATGAATAAAACCCTTTAGCTCGTGGATGACGAATTGATGGTAAGAATGTGACTGGGTTAAGTGTCAGTTTATTACTCGTAAGTGTTGGGGGGTAGCCAGTGTTTGACTGTGCCAGGACCTTGAACTGTGCTTGGAGCAGGACCAAGCGTCAGTCCACCTAGCCACCTGCCTCCATCCTCCATACACCTATAGGCTACACCCGCGGACTAGGTTGTAAATATTATAGTACTTCGATGTTTGGACCGACGTGACAAAATATTTTATTTAACCTTAATAACATTGTTTGACAAACTATTTTAATTTAATTATATGCTCTGAGGATTCTTTGATGTTTTACAAAAACTCGAACCTTTGTGTTTTGGAATTAATGATCTATTTACGGCAACACGCCTGTAAAAAAATGGTTGAATCAAGAAACTTACACAATTATTGATTGATCAAATTTAAAAAATAATGCGTTGTATCGTAAGCTTTATGGCTAGTTATACAAAAACTGGAATTAATAGACGCTTAACTGTTAATTGTCTTATTCACAGATTAGTACTGTAATAAAATAAAACATATTTGGAAAGGTAAATCAAAGTCTTACTAGGCTAAGAGTGGGGTTTAAAAGTATATTACGTTACTAGTCCTAAAATGGGTGTTTACCGGACGAGTGCGGTCGTTCCCGTGCGAGACGAAGTCGAGTGCCGGATTACCATACGAGTCAAAATAATTGATCTTATTGGTATAACAGACTAATAGTCAGTTAGTTTTATTTAGTTATTTTTACTAAGTTTAGTTTTAGTATTTAAAAATCTTGAGCTCATTTCGGGGACCCGGGAAAAATTTTCATACCGACCAAAAAGTAGTTTTTAGTTTCTTTTTACGGTAATACTGAGTTTAGTTTTCCTGGCAAACCTATAACAACTTGAATAGGGGATATTGATGTATGAGCTTTATTACATGCGATTATTAGATGGGGTCTCTCAGGGCGATGACAAATAAAAATGGATGTAATTCTGTAATGGGTTGAGATAGAAACCTCTAGTTTTCACCGATATTCTTTTTAAATAATGGCCTTTAAAATGGGGTGTCACTTGATGGGGCTTTGCATTTAAAACCTTTGAGCAGCCCTCAAAATAAACCATTTTGGGGTTTCGGACGACATTTTGATACCAAAAAAAGTGCACTTTTATTCTGTATTGAGGTCTGCAGAGTTTGGTTATCTTAGTGTAACCCATTTAAAAGTTAATGATGAGAGGTCTCTAGACTTTTAATCTGTAGGTAATACGACGCATTTTTCATATTACCGCATCAAATATACAGTCTGATTTGCTTTCTTACCACACGCCAGGACTGATGACTATAAAATGTGCCGTAATCATTAATGTTTTGTTCATTTGAGTTGTCGTGACCAACTCTCGTGACCTTTTAAATATTGCAATAAAACTTCAAGAAATGAAAACGTAACACCGAATACAATGACATTTCTGCAATGAGACAAAATAGTGATATTTTTACCCAACAACATAAGCTAATTAATGTCATACGTAAGGTCTTCTGTGAGTTTTTTAGAAGCTGGGTAAGAAATCTTTAACCACGGTAAAAAAAAGTTGGGTAAAATAGTATGTTAGTTGAAATTTGACGATGTTCACCTGTGTACTGTACATGGAGCTATTCTACTTGCGTCATCAGGACGAAGTAAAAGTCGCAGCACTAGTGACTCGCGGATATATGGTGCGCTCCGGGCCGGATCAAGGAGCAAGGGTGCCTCCTATTATTTTATCGGCTCCAACGTGGTCCTTAGTTCCCACAGAGCTAGTGAGTTACGCGCCCGGTACGTTGCGCAATTTAGAGTTAGCATCGACTGCGGAGAATTTTATCAAATAACCGGACAAAACGAACCCGATGATTTACGGCTTGACAAGTATTTGTTTGCGGTTAATGGCGTCTATATTCAACGACGACGACGGTGTCATTTCATAAACACGTCTATAAAACAAACAGGAATATATCTTGTGCAACGATCCAAGGAGACTCGACCGTGCCACTTTCTCGCTCCTACACACTTCTCCGCTCTTCAGCTCTTCAGTCTGTGTGTCGCCATACGTTTCTGCTAAATTAGCCAACAATAACACTTATAGACATAACAAAAAATCTCCACATATTTACCTTGAAAATACACACATACTCACTAATTATACTATTTATACATTTTTGAAAACTAACAAAAGTGTTTCAAATCAATATTAACAGTTAGTAACAATAGATTTGGCAATTTTAACATTTACGAATCACTGTATATTGAAGTAAGTTTCATGTACAACACCGGTTCGCGATCATACTCGTTCTTAAATTTACACAGGTCTTTTCAGTTTTCAAGGGTATCAACATGGATATTGAACAAAATACAAAGACAATGCATGAACCTACGATTTATTTTAAGCACACTAGTATTAGAAGTTTAACATATACAGTTTAAGCTATTTTATTGTGTATTGAAACAAACCTGAATCTAAAGTGGTTTCGTAGGAGCCCAACAGTACTGTAGAAAGGCTTTCCACATCGTGCATCTACTTTCCTACCTTACTACCTCTGTTATAGCCTTGTGCATAGGTTTTCTTTGATAATTAGATTATAGATTGATGATTTTTCTTTTAGGCATTCAAGTACAGTTTAGGCCAGTGGACAGTGAGATCACGATCAACCGACTTGGCAGATCTCAACATTCTTGTAAAAAATTCAAGTCAACAACTGAAGAGATTCAGAGGAAGAGGTAACTTGAGGTGATTTCAAGGTCAGATGACGACCCTGAGCGTCTCGGCGCCTTACCTGTTGATCGATTATGCTGGACAATCCAATCTTTGTATCTTACATTTCCTCATGATCGATAAACAACATTTCAATTATGGAGAGATAAGAAGATAGGAAGTTATCAATCACGCGTTGCATAGGAGTCCGTAGTTTCCGTGCCTGGATACTAAACGTGGAATACATTTTGTATGTAATTATGTTAAGAAAATATCCTGAACCGTTAAAGGAGACAACAATTCAAACTCTGTATGGAAAGTAGCGAAACCCTTCAATTCTCCCGAAACGAGAGATTTACTTGCAAACTATTTGGCGAAATAGGAGTCTGCAGGACGCAAGGTCAAGTGAGGGTAGAAATGTAAAAGCTCCAACAGCGCCATATAAAACAAAATACGACATACAAAAATCGGTCGAGATGAGAGCAACAATGCCGGGGACAAACCACTGCTCTTAGCCGGGGTAGCGAGGGAGGGTTGATATAACTTAATTTTCCAGACATAACTTTGTGTAAGATGTAATGGAGGTTCAGCCCAGCTAGATGTTATCAAATCCGACCCCACAAAACATTTTAAAGCTTGTTTATTATAGGCTGCTGCGATCGGCCTAATAAGAGCTTGCGACGTTTATTTTTAGAAGCAGTTTCGTATCAGCTCTTTACACAGAGAAAACTGTTTAGCATTTATTATATAACGGGTTTTTGGTTCTACAGAAAGATGTGTTTGCTAGTTTAACTTAACTTTCAAATCTTATAGTCCAAAATAAAAGACTAAATGTTTAAACAATAGTATATTACATTTCAAAACATTAACTTTTATTTGCTCTATAGTCCCTACCACTCACGCGTATTTATAATACCAATTACAACGCCAAAAGATTCATCTAAATGCATAAATACCATTTCAAATCATACTTGAATTTTATACTTGGTTAAGAACTCATATCAACATAAGGTATTTTCACATAGCAAATAACAATAATACAGTAGAAGATTATACAACTTCGTTCCTTTCGAATTATTTAGAAATCGTTATTTTCATAGACTAAGATATTTGGTCAGCATTAGACAACTATTAAAATAATCATTCGACTTAATTTAATGGCTTAAATTAATGTAAACTGTATTGAAATGTGGGCTTGATTAAAGTGTATGTGTGTGTGTGTGTGTGCAGGTGGAGAGGGTAGGGTAAGGCCTAGTCTGAGTGTAGGGTACCAGTCTTGAGTTAGAGCTAAGGGGATGAAATTGACTTGGCTCATCTCCTAGCCGTTGTAATTCATTGAACAGGCCGCTTTTTGTTCAATATACAATGTTTATGTTTCAGCAAGATTTATCATAAGCAACGTGGCATCTTCGCCTCCAGGCAATATACTACATAGTCAGTTATAAGTCAATTTCAAATAGACTTTGATGGTACTTATCAAAAAGGGTTCCAATAGTTGTAGGTGTAGTAAATCTTGCAAACATAATGAAAATAATGGCTTCAAAATCATTATTCAGAAAAGGCTAAGAAATTATCCCTTATTTTATTGGACACTTAGTGAAAATTAAATTAAGGATAATTACTTGGAAAAGTAATCATTGTTCCATAGAAAATTAATATTGAAATAATACATTAACGATACAATAATTATTTTTATTACAGGATTTATTACTATGCAATTACAGTGCTCTATAATAAACACATTTTAATATTACTAA